ACTCTTACCCATAGCTAAAACATTATCCTCACCAGTTTTAGCTTCTCTCTGCAGCAGAACAAGAAGTGTTTCTATACCACCGGATGTTATAAATACCTCTGAAAACATCTGAGCTCTTGTAGCATTCGGCTGTACAACCAACCTATACATAAGGTGTAATACCCTCGCAACCTGGAAATATCAAAAGGTTGGACAGTGTCAGACAGCACGTATTTGTCAATTTATTTGGTCATTGTCATTCTTTTCTACCTACCAACACAAAAGAGTGCAATCTGGTAGACTATTCTCTCTCGAAATGACCCACATTTCACCATGTAAACCATTATAAGATGGTTTTCCAGAAATCATATACATATTCTGACTACGGAACTAGTTTTATTAGTAATAGTGCAAGCAAACTACAAACGGCGCTAAGGTGCAAGGACTGGATTGCATAACTAAATTGGCATTGAATATGAACTAACCTAAAATATTAGAAGTACAACACACTTAATAATCAGAACAAGAATATGTCCTTCAAGACAAACAATACTGGAATAGGGAGTATACAAAAATTGGAAAAAGAAACTAACGGTTGGCCACTAGGTTATTATATCCAAGGTACAAAGTTTTTACTTCTCCATTTTGGTTGTTTAATGGTGATAATTGAAGGGACAAAAAAAACACTTAAGGAAACGTTACCTGATTAGGCTGTGGGCTGTCAATTATGAAACCAAGTAATCGACGGAGGTCATCAGCAGCTAAAGAAGGAGATGCTGCTCCCATTAGAAGTTCAATAATCACCAGAAGTTCATCAATCAGAGCATTGAGTTCCCCCATTTGACGCGTATTCCGATCAAGAGGAAAAGTGGTCTCAGAATCCTTCTCAGAAATCATCCAATAGCATCTTCGACAGCCATCTAGAAGCAGCTGAATAGCTTCGGCATTCCTCATAGCTGTTGCTTCAGTGAAAACCATATCTTGAAGGGAAGACAATAGCTTCTTTTGGAGTCCATAATTGCACAGGCTCCATATTTTCAAATCTAATAAAAGTGTACGGAAGAGCTGCACTTTGAGAACATGATTGATCTTCTGTGATTGGCAAAGCGAAACAATGGCAGCAACTAGTTCCTCTTCTCCTACTCCGTCATGCTTCCTGTCAAGGGATGCAAGTGAGTGTAGAAGATATCTCAGAATTCTAGCAAGAATCTCGGGTCCCTGAGTACGACACAACTCTTCAATGTTCCCAGGATGTTGAATAGCGACTGACATAATTCTAAATACAGGTGCAGCAAGTGTAACTGTGGACAAAGACAGTGGAAGATTTCCAAGACATGGCTCCAAGCTATCTTTATGCACATTGCTTACAGTCAAAGGAAGCAGGGACATGGGTCCTCCATAAGCTAAGGCCCAGAAAGACTCCACTGGCTTCATTCTCGTTGCAACATGGACTTGTCCAAGGACCTCAGCTGGTCGCCTTAGAGTGCCTTGACGAAGAAAAAAATAAAAAGTAAAACAAAAAGATTTGTTCAAACGACATCAAAAATGGAAATGATTGTTTCCAATCTCCTAGCAGAAATAAAGAAGAATAAAGTTTGTGCGATAATGGAGAAGAAACACAATGACGGTAGGAATTAATGAAGAGAAAAGAAAGTCACTGATAGAGAGAATGAGCAAATCAATGTACATAACATTTCAACAATGACAATCTGATAACATATAATAACGCATATCAACATTCTTGGGAATTGCACGTTTTCAATTTTAAAGAGCATTTGATCTTATGAAAAAGGGAGTATAAATATAGGCACCTGCTGCTCCAGAAAGCGAAGCATCTGGACAAAATCGCCCACTTAGAAGACAAGGGTGGTAAAGCAGGTGGGTATATCCTCCAATATCTGCATCCAAAATGCTACTTTCCTCTGCCTTATTACGTACATAGTCATTTGTAGCTAACCAAGGAAGGCCTGCCCCATTGCCAAAACAAGGCAAAACATCCCCACCTCTAGAAGCCAAACGCGCCATTCTCTCAGGACCAATTGGTTCCTTAAATATATAAACTGGTCCCATTTCTGCAAACAAAGGACATTGACGACGGCGACGTTGTAGGCCAGCCATAGTAGGAGGAGGATTTGTGCCAATGCAACAGAAAGAGAGAGGCTTGGATATACGAGGAAAATCAAAAGGACGACTTTCGTACAAGGATCCATCAATATATAGCCGTAGTTCACTCTCTGCTTTCCCCAGAAGTCCCTGCTTGTAGCTATGCTCGAGACCAATAAAATACCAACATTGAGGCTTAAATGCATGAGTAAAATGCAGCGAAGACTTTCTTGCTTTCCCACTACCACTCTCAACCACCAGAAATTGAGCATGGAAATATGCTTCTATTCCCTGATTATCAGCGGACAAAAAGCTGAATAAACGTGGCATATGAGCAGTGCCCTCACCAGCAAGCGCACTTGCAGCCGCTGCAGCTGACATTGCGGATGTTTTCCCTGACTTGGCTGCTGCGGCAGCAGCAATTGCAGCTGCCGCAGTTGCAGCATTTAATGTGTCAGCAAATGATTCAATATAGATCCATGTTGCAAATGCATAGCCATTGGTAAAGGGCCAACGACTTTCTCCGGGACCAAGTAAGCCAGAGCTTTCACCATCAAATTCAAAAGTACAAGCAGGTCCCCTTGATTCCTTTCCACTCATTGCCTTCTCCAAAGCAAGCATCAATGGACTTGACCACGCTGTTGTAACTGCGGCTTTTATAACTTGAAGCCACCTGTGTAAATCATCGACACTAAGGGAGTGCCCAGCTAAATGTTGAATACATAGTAGCAAAATAGCAGCAGCATTCCATTTCATATCAACGTCCTTGGAAATTATCTCTTCCACTGATCGCAACAGAACTCCTAATAACCCTGCCGTTGAACACATAGCTCTATTTCTCGTGCATGACCGTATAATAACAAGCAAACCCCGAACCATACGAGTCCTCGGGGACATAAACTTAACGCTATCACCTAAACCAGGAAGCCAGGGAATAAGCTCACCAGAAACAATAGCAGCACGGGAATTTAACATGACACTAGGAGGGTTGCTATCTTCATCCTCTTCAAAACTCTCGACTCCACCCATGGTGGCAATAAGTGAATCAATAACAAGAAAAGCAGTGGCCTCTGACTCCTCTCCACAGCCAAAATTCTCAATACCACTAACAACATTCTTTAGTTTGTCTAAGCTCTCAGGCTTGCCCATGATGGCTGAATCCACAAGATGCAGTAGCTCTGGAGAAACATTTGGAACTGTGGCCTTTGGCTTGGGCTTCTGCGGGGAATGAACTGGGGAATATCCAGATTCTGGATCCAGGCTAGTTTCAGACAGGGACTGCTGCATGGAATAAACTGCTTGTCTCTCTGGTGAAAGTCGGTCACTTTGCACATCGTCCATAGGCATGAGATCATACATCTCCTGAGTCGATAAGTGATAAGTAGCTACATCAGTGCCACCAAATGAGGACCTCCCATAATCAGAATTTGAAGTGCTTCCAGGTTCCTTAAGTTCACCCAGAGATTCATTGGCAGCCTTGTCCTGATCTCCCAGAGAAACTTGTTCAAAATCATCATCCTTGAAGGCTCTATCAGCTGAACTGATCCCTTGCAAAGCCGTATCATCCTTAGGAAGAAAACCAGAATCACCTATATCAAATGCCTCTATCCTATTCTGCAAAGGATTAGCTACATCAGACGTATCAGTAACATCAGCTTCAGGGAGCTTTCTTTCATCATCGTCTTCCATTCTATCAACTTACAGAGAGTACAGACATTCACAGCGTTTTATCACCCTCCACCTGTTACACAGAGTAAAAGTACAGCTTGTGAGAAAAATGCATCTGACACTGATGAAGATGACAACTAAAGTCACTTAAATGATATATACTCACTTGGATCTACTAAAGTTAACATATACAGCATCAAAAAACAAAACGAAAATCTGTGCAAATCACAGTTATCTGCTTAAGGAACTCAAAAATCTTCAGAAAACATTCAATTAGAAGATCTGATTATCGATTAGGAAGATTTTGAAATTCGAATGAGAAATACATTCCGCGTGTATCATCGAGCACTGTGAAAGGATAAAATGCTTATAGAAATCAATGCCGGGAGAGAATACGCACGGATCGGACCGGAGATGATGAGCCAATGAAAGCGAATCGGAAGCAGTCCAGCAAATCTGGACGGATTCTCTATCCTCCGGCAGCGCAACGAAAGCAAAGACGGAGAATGCGTAAGATTTCAGAGGACGACGGAAGTAATTAGAGGTGAGACGACGATCGGAGAAAGACTAGCGAAAGGAGGCGACTTGGGCGCGCGGGAGAGAGAGAAAGAAGAGAAGAGAGAGAGATTGTGGTTTTTTACTGATTTGGGATTTAGCAACTTCCAACACATAAAAGTCATTTACACTAAAGTTTTCATTTAATTCTTTTAATAAGGACTACTACTATTTTTCTATTCATGTTAACACAAATTTATTTCTTTTTAGTTTTTACTTTTTACTACTCCCAGTAATGTGATTCATTTATTTTAATTTTTTCTGCTAACAGTAATGTGATTCATTTATAAATCAAAATCATTTATAAATTTTTATCTTAGACCAGGGATCCCAAAAAAAAAAAGCAAAAGGTCTTACACACGTATTAAAGGGAAAGAATAAAAAAATTAATCAGAATATTTGTTTACGCTAAACCAAACATATCCTCCTCTTTCTATTTTTCTTTACCATAACATCAATTTATATTGATAACTCATGGTAATTTTTTTTAATTGAAACTTTATAATAATTTATGGGCTTTATATTTACCTAAAGACATAACACAGGCCCAATACTAATATGTATACCTTGACTTTCTCCAAGCCTACCCAATTTATAAGTAGAAATCTTACCACCGAGAACAGAGCGTTCCAGATGATTTTGTTTTATTTTGATCATTAAGGTCATTAGGGTTTTAAACAAACAGACAAACAGAAGGAAGTATTACAATGGATAATTAATGTTTCTTGACGGGAACGGCATGTAACGGGCAATGTGATACCAAAGGTCTCGTCCATGTCCAAGTCCTCAGAATCGACACCGTTCGGAAGCTTCCAGTCAAAGGAATAAAGAAGAGAAGCGAGCATTAGAGACACTGTTTTCACAGCCAATGGAAATCCCGGACAAATTCTCCGTCCTGCTCCAAATGGTGTAAGCTCATAATCTTTACCTCTCACGTCGATTTCTTTCCCCAAAAACCTCTCTGGCTCGAACCGGGTTGGATTATCCCACACGCTCGAGTCTCGTCCTATGGCCCAGACGTTCACTAGAACCTGAGTATTTTTAAGCACCATGAACCCAAGAATCTCCACATCGGATTCAGCTTTTCGCGGGATAAGAAGCGGAGCAGGCGGATGTAACCGGAAAGTTTCCTTCACAACTGCTTGTAAATACGGCAGTTCTAAGATATCTGACTCTTTAACGATACCCTTTTGGCCCATCACTCGATCGATCTCAGCCTGAGCTTTCACCATCGTTTTAGGGTTTCTAAGTAACTCTGCCATTGCCCACTCTAGGGTACTAGAGCTTGTATCTGTGCCAGCTGTAAACATATCCTGGCCATATAAATAACATGTCAGTGAGCTCGACATTTCCGACCAGTATATAAATATTCATGCTTGCCATTTCAACTCATAACATTTGAGTAGAATATACTACAACATGATGTTGTACAAATACGATGTGACAATGCTGTGTAAGATTTAAAAATGTCTTTCTATGATCGAAACATGTTTTCACTCATCTAACATTTGTTGGAATAATTATAAAATTTCCATATCCTGATACCAATTGTCAAAATTGATTATTCCATTATCTTATAAATCATGATTAGTAAGGTAAGACTTACCAAGAGAAGGTGTTCAATATCGCTAATGTTGAGTTCTGTTTCATCTCCTTTGAAATCGAGAAGGTTGTCTACGAAATCGTTGTTTGAAACATCTTTAGGGTTATTCTGCGAAAAAATTTCTGCAATCTTAGCATCAATGAACCCACGGAAAACCCTTAACAGCCTCTCCGTGCAAACCTTCATAGTCTTCCTATTACCTTGCAGATCAAGAAACCCCAGAAATGGAAAGTAATTAGCAGCGTCTGGATTCCCGACAGCACCCATAACACTATTCACCGTGTCTTGAACCCCGTTAATAGAAGCTTTCGCGTTGTAGCTACCGAGATCGACGGAAAACAGAACGTTCGATATGATATTAAGAGTTGTGATGAAGGATACACGAGAAATATCAACAGATTCTTCTCTATTGCTGCTTTCACTTATGAAGCTCACAAGTTCCTTCACCTTATTCACCCTCAATGCTTTCGTGGCTTCGATACGCTGTGGTGACAAGAGCTGAGTCACCGACAGCCTTCTAAACAGCCTGAAACAGAACATAACAACGATCCATCAAGAACATTACTGTTTTATGGGTCTTTATTATTTCCTTTCAACAAAAAGAAAAACTTTGTTGTAGCAAATCTTGTAAGAAGCAAAATCGTAGGAAAACAGAAGTCGATATTAAAATTATACCTCCAACGAGCAGACGACGAAGGAAGCCAGATAAGGGAAGCATCTTGGTGATTGATGGACCGTATCGCGTGAGTGGGACTACGGCCAGACAAAATCTGGTCATGTGTTCGTAAAACCTCTCTGGCAGCTTCTGGTGAAGCTATAACCACTGTATTTAAACTTCCAAGCTTAAGACTCATGACTGGTCCATAAGTTTTCGAGAGTGCAGCGAATGAGCGATGTGGATGTTTTCCGACGAGGTGAATATGTCCGATGATCGGTAACCGTGGAGGTCCTGGAGGCAGAGCGAAGGTCCCGTGAGAGTTTCGTCCAGATCTTGTGGTGGTGAAGATAAGAAAACATGATAACATAAAGGAAAAGAGCAGTAACAGAGCTTCTCCGGAGATAATTATGTCTAGGCCTGCGACTATTACCCGAACCGAGATTTCCGAACCGAACCGAACCGGTTTTTTGTTGTCTCGGTTCGGGTTCGGTTATTACATGTGAACCGATCGGCAACATTACAAATTAAGTTCGGGTATTGCTTCGGTTCGGTTCGGTTCAACTGAACCGAACGGTTAACCGAATATCCAAACCTCTTCACCATGTTCATCAGCCATTGCGGTGCTCATCGTCAAATCGTCTTCAATTTTCAATCGTCGTCTTCATTGTTGAGTCGCCGCCGCCGCTGCAACAAAACCTGTCTTCTTCTCGTCGTGCAACATCAACAAAATTAGGTTTTTTGAGTTTTAAAAATTTTAATGGGTCAACTGACCCATATAATTTCAGCCCATTTCCATTAATAAACATGTTATTAGGTTTGGTTTCTGGCCCATTTGAAAAAAATGAACGTGAAAGTCACGTGATTGTCTTCTTCCTTTGAACCCTAGATGCTTAAACATTAACTTCTCGAGAGCAACACGCCCGCTGAAGGTTTCAAAATCAAAAAACACAGATCCGTGTATGGTTTTCGAAGGTGCAAGCCGAGATCCACACTAGAATTCGATTCAAATCGGCAGCCTTTTTCAAAACCCGAAAACCCGAGAACCGAACCGAACCGAACCGATATTATAGTTCGGTTAGTTCGGCAAGCTTTTTTGTGACCCGAAAACCCGAAGAACCGAAAAACCCGACCCGTTTTGACCCGAAATACCCGTACTCGCAGGCCTAATTATGTCCATTTGTGTGGTCTCAAGTGATAGAAAACTATAGAAAATTATCCAAATAAATCACATCTATATATAATATATATTTGTACAATAGACAAATAAAACATCTTCTTGGTTTTGGTGATATGTATAATAGAGAATTTGGGGACTAGCCCGTACAATTATGTTTATTGTACATACTCGTATACACAAAAATTCAACTATTATTTATATTTACGTAAATAACATTTTGTGTCAGACAAGCTTTTAGATTGAAAAAGCACAAAGCGATTGGTCTATGTTTAGGACCGTCTTTACTTCATTCTGCTAACTAATAATGTTCCCATTACACACCAAACGACAGATCAATCCAATTCCAAACTCAATTGCGTGTTGTGTCATATTCAGGCGATCTCATCTTCTTGGAATTATTGGACACGGCGGAAGAAAGCCAATTACGAATTTCAACAAAATTCTTGTCCTTTTCTTCGAAATCTCACGCACCGCTCATTATTTCTTTTGTTGTGACGTTACTTCATTGTTGTGTTCCACACGATTTTTTCTGATGGGACCAGTTCGCTAAAGAAAACCCAAACCGATGGAAAGATATTTCTGATTTATTATGAAGATGTACTGATTTAGTCAATAATTAGCTACTCTCAATAGCAAGAAAAAGAGATTGTGAATTCCTAAATCCTAATATCAGGAAACACGATTTTTTTTTTCAAACAACAAAAATATGAATATTAGGAAAGTACATGATTTCCCTTCCTAATTATTAAACTGATGGAGCAATTTTTTTGTTGTGTGTGTATGTGTATTTAAATAAAAAACAGTAGGTGTATATATTTGGGACAAATAAAAAGAAAACTGAATGTTTATGAAAATACACGGTAAAGATTTAACAAGGAGAAAATAGTTGTACAACCGAGAAGAGAAGCGTTTGAGGTGATTTGTTATTTAATCTGGTAATTAATTATTCGTACAGTACTTATAAGAAAAACATACTAATTTTAAATGGCTAATTAAGACAGCGTTTCTTGACGGGAACGGCATGTAACGGGTTGGTTTTATGCAATGTGAGACCGAAGCTCTCTTCCATATCCAAATCCTCAGAAAGGACGCCATTTGGAAGCTTCCAATCAAAGGAATAAAGAAGAGAAGCAAGCATTAGAGGCACTGTTTTCACAGCCAAAGGCAATCCCGGGCAAATTCTACGTCCGGCTCCGAATGGTGTAAGCTCATAATCTCTACCTCTCACGTCGATTTCTTTTCCCATAAACCTCTCTGGCTCAAACCGGGACGGATTCTCCCATACGCTCGGGTCTCGTCCTATGGCCCACACGTTCACCAAAACCTGAGCGTCTTTAGGTACGAGGAATCCAAGAACCTCCACATCGAATTCCGCTTTTCGTGGGACAAGAAGAGGAGCAGCCGGATGTAACCGGAAAGTTTCCTTCACAACTGCTTGTAAATAGGGCAGTTCCGAGATATCAGACTCTTTAACAACACCTTTTTGACCAATCACACTGTCGATCTCAGCCTGAGCTTTCCCCATTTTTTCAGGGTTTCGAAGTAACTCTGCCATTGCCCATTCCACGGTACTAGAGTTTGTGTCTGTCCCCGCTCCAAACAGATCCTGATACATACGTATTGTTTAAATTCTTGATGATGTTCGTTTGATTTATTTTAAATGTTAATTCATAAGATTCTAAAATCCTACAAAAAATAGTAAGACTTACGAAGAGAAGGTGTTCAATATCGTTAGTGTTGAGCTCTGCTTCGTCTCCTTCAGTAAGATCGAGAAGCACATCCACAAAATCTCTCTTCGAGACATCTTTAGGGTTAACATTCCGCAATGATTTTTCTGCTATTTTAGCATCAATGAACCCACGGAAAACTTTAAACAATCTCTCGGAACAAGCCTTCAGAGTCTTTCTATTGCCTTGCAGATCAAGAAACCCCAGAAATGGGAAGAAGTTAGCAGCGTCTGGCTTCCCTACAGATTCCATGACACCAATCACCGTGTCCTGAAACTCACTGAATTTTTTCGAGTCGTAGCTACCGAGATCTACAGAAAACAGAATGTTTGATATGATATTAAGAGCTGTGATGAAGGTTGCACGAGAAATATCAACAGCTTCTTCTCTTTCGCTGCTTTCACTTATGAAGCTCACGAGTTCCTTCACCTTGTTCTCCCTCAACGTTTTCGTGGCTTCGAGACGCTGAGGCGAGAAGAGCTGAGTCGCCGCTAGTTTTCTCAGTAGTCTAAATTCAACAAAAGACCAATGTCACCACATATTAGTCAACAAAGATAATGTGAAAAATATGATTATGTTAAATTGAATCGCAGAATTTATTTAGTGTACAAATTTGACAGAGAAACAGTGGAACAAGTTCACTCAAGAAACAAGCGGAATAATATTTTCTTTTCTTATGTTGGTCACTGAATTCACATAATTACAAAATTTCTACACATCTCATACTTTTCTGTGTCTGTTGTGCCATAGAATCATGTGATTGATAACACAACAGACACACGAAAGTATTAAATAATAACAAGAGTAATTGAAGCTTTTAATGAATAGTGACAAAAGTAATTATGGCTTGAGAGATCACGGAATCATGTTGACACCTTTTCCTTAATAATATAATCAACAATTAAGAAAATTGAAACCATAGAAAACAAAAATTCGATATTAGTAATAATACCTCCAACGAGGCGACGATGGTGGAAGCCAGACAACGGAAACCTCGTGGTGATTAATGAACCGTATCGAGTTAGTGGAGCTACGGTTAGAGAGGATTTGGTCGTATGTTCTTAGAACCTCTCTTGCAGCTTCTGGTGAACTTACGACCACTGTGTTTAAACTTCCAAATTTAAGGCTCATGATTGGTCCATATGTTTTTGAGAGGTCGGCGAATGAATGGTGTGGGTTTTTGCCGACAAGGTGAATGTTTCCGATGATGGGTAGCCGCGGAGGTCCTGGAGGCGATGGAGCGACCTTGAGAGAGCTCCGGGATCTTGTTATGGTGAAGATAAGGAAAAATGATAAGATAAAGCAAAAGAGGAGGAACAGATAAGCTTGTTCAAAGATGATGTCCATAATTTTTTCTCAATAGATATTTTCTTTGAAACTAATGAGTAAAATATCAAAGCTTCAAAAGCCACTTAAATACCTAAAGATATTTCATGTAAAATGCAAAAATTTTAATCTTATTGATTACTACGGTCCAAATACATCCTACCGGCTACCGGTGACAGGGACGTTTGAATTGAAACCAAGAGGCGCCACTTGTCAGTTAAAGCCGACCAATGAAGTTCTAATTAGAAGACCAACGACTAATCACAAGATATACGTATATCTTTTCAAATTGCATTGTGTTTCCTCTTTTTTTGACCTAAGCAGATCAATCTCTCTGAGACGATACATACCTTTTCAAATTGTATTGTGTTTCCTCCGTTTTGACTTTAATATTATACATTTTTACTTAAATTAGTATTTATGAAAATCAACATAATTTAGAATTTCATTCTCTTAAATTATTAATATTGACACACAATACGATTATTTAAGACGATATTGTAGGATTCTTGACGGGTACGGCACAAAGAGGTTTGGCCTTGTGTAAGGTAAGACCGAAAGCCTCGCTCATGTCTATGTTTTCAGGGACGACACCGTTTTGAAGCTTCCAGTCAAAGGAATAGAGAAGAGAGGCAAGCACCATATGCATTGTCTTAAGAGCCATCGAGATTCCCGGACACATCCTTCTTCCTGACCCAAATGGTATCAACTCAAAATCTTTGCCTTTTAGATCGGTTTCTCGTAACAAGAATCTCTCTGGCTCGAACTTCATTGGATTTTCCCACACGCTCGAGTCTCGTCCTATAGCCCATACGTTCACCAAAACCTAATCTCGAAAAACAGAGATGGGAGATTTTAACCGAACCAAACTTTTTTTTATTTATCCCGTCGGTTCTATGTATATATCAAACCAAACAAACAACCCAAATTTAAACCGAAATCTATAATTTAGGTCAAACACTATTTTTAATTAACATTTAGTCATTTATTAGTGAAAAAAATTTACATAATGATTTTTTAAATTCCACTCTATCTCGTTGTAAAAATGAAAAACTAAACCAAAATCGAACTAATTCAATTTTTTGATTTTTTTACAGCATTCAACTTTTCTCTATTCAAAACGAAACGGACCAAATAAAGTTAGGTTCAAGATATACTAACAGTTTTCATGAATTGAACAATTCCAACTGTGTCAAAGCAAAACAAACAAAAAAAGCCAATGTACCCAACAATAAAGCTAAGACTCCGCTAACGTGCATCACAAGTTAGTACTAAAAGGTAAATGAATGTTGGCGTCATAAAGATAAATATGAAATATACCTGGGTGTTCTCAGGAACGAGGAAACCCAAAATCTGAACATCGGATTCCGATTTTCTAGGGATCAAAGGAGCTGCAGGATGCAAACGAAGAGTCTCTTTCACAATTGCTTGTAAGTAAGGCAGACTCGGGATATCAGATTCTTGAACGACACCGTTTTCACCAATCACTTGCCGTATCTCACTCTGAGCTTTAACCATCTTCTCCGGGCTACGGAATAACTCCGTCATTGCCCACTCCATTGTACTTGAGTTTGTATCTGTACCAGCAACAAACACATCCTGTCACAAAAATAGGTTAACTGATGATATTTGCATCCAAATAATATCTTAATATATCTTACCATTGGTGTGTGTGAAAGACTTACGAGAAGCAAGTGTTTGATGTCATTCATGGTTAATTCTGCTTCGTTTTGCTGTGTGAGATCCAGAAGGGAGTCTAGCATGTCCATGCTCGAAGCCTCTTTAGGCTCTGTCTCTTTCTGAGACAATCTTTTGGCTAACCGAGCATCAATGAATTCTTGGATAACCCTAAACAATCTCTCTATGCAGAGCACCGCTTCTTTTCGGATACCTTGCAAATCAAGAAACCTCATATACCGGAAATAGTCTCCTACGTTGGGTTTACCGGAGATCTCCATCAGGCGAACAACCGTGTTGTGAAATTCGTAAGACGAGGAGTTAGAGTCATACGTCGCTAAATCTACTGAAAACAGAGCATTTGAGATGATATTGAAAGATGTGACGAAGGAAGCACGAGCCAGGTCAATAGCTTCTCCTCTCTCGCGAAATTGGTTTACTAAGCCCACTAGTTCCTCCACCTTTCTCATCCTTAAAGATTGAATAGCATCTTGGTTTTTCGGTGATAACAAATATTTCGTTAGTGTTTTCTTCAGAAACCTGAAGATGCATACATACAGAACTTCAACAGAGTTGTGGCTAATCATGTGTGTGTATATATTTAAATTTTTAAACTACGCGTAAAACCCAAGCTTAGCTTCAGGTTTTTCGGTTTAGAAAGTATAAATATTCAAATTAAACAAAACAGTGTGAATGTGTGATGATCACGAAAAACTCGTTAAAACCATGTTAAAGTTTGGTAATTGGTATACAAATGATTTCAAACACAAGAGAGTTAAAAAGAAACGAAATGTTGATATTAGATAGAGTTAGTACCTCCAACGAGCCGAGGGAGGAATCCAGACAATGGAATGTTTATGGTGATCAAAGGCTCGAATAGGGTCGTTAAAGGTTCGAGCGGACATGACATGGTCGTGTGTTCTAAGTGCCTCTTTAGCTGCTTCTGGTGAAGATATAACCACTGCGGTTAACCTTCCAAGCTTCAAACTCATTAGAGGTCCGTATGTTTTCGAAAAGGCAGCAAGCGAACGGTGAGGATTGAATCCGAGTTGGAATATGTTTCCAACCAATGGCAGTGTCGGAGGACCCGGTGGAAGCGTGCCGGTGCTAGAGCTTCTCCGCGTTTTTGCGGTGGCAAAGAAGAAAAAGAAGAATGTTATGAGAAAATAGAGGGGCAGAGACATGCCTTGAATTAGTGAGAGGTCCATTGGACGACCGTTTTTTTCTATAGGTTATACTCTCCTTGTCTAAGGAAGTTGGAGAGTGCCTAGAAAATATAACTCAATCATGCATTTTATATCGGGAAAAATGTCGTTTTATCTTCCAACTTTCAAAAAGTGGCCAATCAATACGTCAACTTCATATGTGGCCATTTAAAACATAAAATAAACGTTGACTAACGTTTGAGACATGGAAATTCGTTGACCAGGCCAAAATAGACATGCCGTTATCAGTCGTTAACAGAACCTCTAACGCCCGTTATCACCCGTAACGACTCTGTTAATCAACTTTCAAATTGTGGCCATTTTAAACATCAACTTTATATGTGGCCATTTAAAACATGAACTAATCGTTGACTAACATTTGAAACATGAGAATTCGTTGACCAGGCCAAAATAGACATGTCGTCATCATTCGTTAAAAAAACCTATAACATCCGTTATCACCCGTTAACGACTCTGTTAGTATATCCAAAACGACGTCGTTTTGAAAATAATCAAGAGAAAATCAGGACAAATTTTTTGTTTAAAGCATAATCCAAGGACATGGTTTGATATATAGACAATCGTAGAGCCAGTAATTAGAAGCAAACATTGTTTATATATTTGTTTTAAATCTAAAAAGGAATCATGGAAGCAAACTTGTAGACCCATCATAGGACTAAAATAGGCATGGGCGTTCGGATATTCGGGTCGGGTTCGGGTTGGGTTTATTGGGTTTGGGTTTTTCGGGTTTAGAAAACTAAGATCCATTCGGGTATTTTAAAACTTCGGGTTCGGATCGGGTTCGGATCGGGTATTTCGGGCTCGGATTCAGGTTTACCCAAAGTATCCAAATATTAGAAATTTTGTATCCGATCCTATGCAGAGTATTGAAAAATAATCAAAAA